GGTGAGGCCCCAGATTCAGGACAACAGGACCAGAGCCAGGGCCCACAGCCCCCTACCTCCCCCAGCAGCACCCAGGCCCTGGTTAGCATCCACAGGAGGTGGCGGCTGCTGCAGCCAGAGCAGAACATGGAGACTGCCTTCCCCTTGTCCCAAGGGCAGCACGGCCTGTGGAGCCTGGGGGGCAGAGGATGCAGGCTGCCTCCTGCAGGCTTGGGACTCCCCACCCTGCTGCCCTCCCCCAAAAGCCTCCATGGCCCAGCAGGTGGGACCCAGCACAGGAGGGCAGGGAGGCTTGGCACTGCTGCCATGAGCCCCACGCTAGCCATGCCACCACGGTGAGGCACGCCCTGCCTGCCTGGCAGCAGCAGTAGTGGCAGCATAGAGCTGTGCCCCACATTGCTGCTGGGCAGGCTTGGGGTGCTTTGCCATGGAGGCTAGTTAGGCTTCACCAAGAGCCTAACCAATCTGTTGTGGAGGCCCCAGGGGGAGGGCAGCAGGGCAGGGAGCCCCAAGCCTGCAGCAGACAGCATGCATCCCCGCCCCCACCCCACATAAATCTGGGGGCACATGCTCTCCATGCCTCCCTCCCCAGGAGTGCATGACCCCATTTTTTATTGTTGCAACCCCAAATGAATCATGACACCAAGGTTAGAAACCACTGCTCTAGATGAAGCCTACCCAGTACCAAGTAAAGAGGTACTATCACCTCCCATGTCTTTTACCTAATGCTCCCTTTGATGCAGTCCAAAACTTCATTTGCCTTCTGTGCAGCTGTGTCACACTGCAGACTCATTTGTGAATTTGCACGGTTGGGTGTTTGCTAATGCTACAGCAATTGTTTTATATTAACCAATCTCATATATGTCCTCCATTTTAAACTCATCTGTTTATAAAGCTAAATCTTTTTTCGAGTTATACTACGTTCTGAACCAGAATCCTAATGATGGTCAAGCACTTACGCTAATAAGCCTGCCTACACTTTAGTGAGTACAAGACCTAGTCTTGTATAACATAAAGCAAGACTTAAAAATATATTTAGTAAAACATTTTCTATTGTACTAGCCATAGATAACTTGGGTTTTGTGCCCTGTCTCTGCTCTTAAGGATGCCATATGGATACCATTATGATTTGCACATCTGGCATATAAGTATTTCTGTACTTCTGCTTTTAAAATAAGCAGAGGAGGTTTATCTAATGTTATGGAGGTATATATTATAAGCAAGTAGGGTATAAAAAGATGTGCAAAATTATATTCTGAAATGTCTCCAATTAATTTGCTGTAGTGCCAAAACTAACAAAACTTTAGTAACATCTATCTTATGTCACCAACTGATCATGGCCTTTATAGTTGTTATTGATAATCTAATTCAGCTGCACCAGGTTGGTTTTGCAGGCTTTTTTTCATATGACAAAAACCTAACATTCAACATATGAAGTACCCTGTTCCTCATATAAGCTATTCCTAGAACTGAGCTACCATCTCAAACTTTACAAGTACTGTTTTCAATGTTAAATTAGGTGGTGGCCTGAAGACCTTCTCTCTCCCATTAGATACCACACCACAACGTATTGCACCCTGTCTGGTTCTTCATTAATGTAACAGTCTGTGCTTCAGAAAATTAGTGTTCCCTGCAACTACAGTTTCATGCTTTAATAGAGTCCAACTAACCATGTTGCTGTCTGTTCCCAATTGATTTTTTGCTGGGCAAGAACAGCAGCTGCCCAAATGGTTAGCTTTTCCCAGAGTTTTATGATGGGAGGGGGTATATCTATCCACAAGTGGCATCTGGTGTTCTCTGATCAGCCCAAGCATTTCTTAATGTAGAATTTCTTTCATTTTTCAGATTCTACATTGACCCACATAATTTTCTTCTATGCTTAAAAGAGAATAATATTTGCTTGGTTGTTATTTTTTGCCCACATTTTTAATTAGAGATTTTTTTTTCTTTTACAATAATCAACTAAGGGTGTCAGTATCTAAGAGTTTGGACTTTGAAAGTACATTAAAATCGCTTAAATTTCCCTTAGAGCTCTACAGTAATCTGCATATAACATATTTTTATTTGGTAGCATAATATTTCCAAGAGCAAGTTTCTTTCTGCAAAGCAGAAATTCACAAAACTACGCTGTGGATGAAGAGTTCAGGATTCCATTCCATCCACCAGATGCAGAAATGGATTTAGGCACATAAGTGTGATTGTGCTCCAACCTGTTGGCTATCTTAAAAGCAGTTAATGCAAAAGATAGGTCCTCCTCCTCACTGCTTTTTTTCTGACTCAGTCTGAAGGGTGAGATGGTAGCATGTTACACAGGAAGATCCATTAATGGTTTTTCTGCATCTGAATAAGCTGGACTAGAACGCGACTTAGGTGCAAAAATCCACTTAGAAACTGAATAGGTGGAATAGAATCTCCAACACAAAATATGGACAAGTGGCCTTCTCTTTTTTTCAACTTGTTAACTTATATTAAATACAAATAAAAAGTATGTTCAATGGACAGGTATGATTGTTCACATAAATAATTACTCTTGCCATTGAGATATTATTTGATCACAATAAGAAGGCACTGACAATACAATGGAATGAGGAAAAGAAGAATATTCATAAAGGAGATATTCTAGTTTAGTTTAGATTACATACCAGTAATTTCATACTTTTCTTCCCTTGCTCTCTATTATTAAATAAATTGGCTAATCATTCATCATTTCCTGAGATGTACTTCCTAAATGAAATTACAGTCCTCTGTTTTTAACAGTAGGGCAAGAATTCACATCATGACTCAGCAACAACAATTATTTCTATTTTTAAAATAAACTATGATCCTACTTTCAAATGCCTGAAAGTAAGGGGAAAACAGAGATCCCACACAATATAGATGGGAACCTGCTTCTAAAAAAGAAAATATTTCAAAATTACTCAAAAGAAACAGTTGCTGCCTAGTGACCTTTCAGAGAAAGCAACATTTCCTACATTTACAAATTAATGGAGAAATTAATCAGAAAGATGACAAAAGTCTTATGCCTCCAGAAAAATGACAAAAGTCTTATGCCTCCCCTGAAACTACTTATGACCTCAAATAAATTCTGATTCATTGCATAAATGTGAATCATGCAGGGAAAGACACCTTTTATACAGTAGACTGCAAATCAGAAGTAGCTACGTTTAATAAACTTTGCTAAGGACAAGTGCTATTAATGCGACTGAATAAACTGCCAACATTTGCACTGGAGTTTATTGCTCCTGTGCACCACATTTACACATCAGCCTGCCAACCCCTCTGGACCTCTGAGAGGTCATTTTCCTCAACTTTCCCCCAAACAGTTCCCCCTGCTACTCATTCCCCCCACGCCCACAAAGGCGCAGATGGATGTGGGGCTCTCCTTCTATCCCCTCTCTGCTGCATGTCCATAGCTGGTCTCCACTTCCTAGCCTCAACATACATAATCAAGCAGGGGAATGACTCACTTCAGACACTTTCAGCACCTCTACCCAGGAAGACCA